GGGGGAGAGGTTTCTTCCGGTCATTGAATTCCGAGAGAGCGCGGAGGCGAGGGGGGTAGAAGAGAAGTGCGAAAGAACTCTAAAGACCTGGCCAAGGTTGATCCGAACGCCATCTCCGTGTTTCTGGCCGATCGAACGACCAGCGTTCATCGGATTCGAGTGGCGTTGCCTCTCCTTCTTGCGTTACGCCAGTAAGGCTTCGACGGTTTCGGTCAGTTTGATCTATGGAATGTTTCACCATGTACCTCAAATAGTAGGTTGTACTATCGTAGAATATATGTGTATTTTGTACCGACAGGGTCATGTGCGTCTTCTTGGTGGAGTTGGTTACCACGTGAGTCTCATATTGATTTATGATGTTGCCCGCGCAACAGCGATCTCAAGGTCGCCAGTTCGATCCTGGCAGAGGACAAATTTTTGTTGTTTTGTTGTCAACCTTTCCCTTTTTTTTTGATTCATTGAATTTCACTCGGCCCTACCTCATTCCCCCATGAGGTCGCTCCATCCCTGGGCAACCGCTCTTTTAGGTGGCAGGAATCGCAGTGGGTTTCGCTCCTAGGCCCCCCCGCGATGGCAAGGGTGATCACCTAGTCACCCCACCTTCGCGTTCACTTTTAACGCGCTCGCGTGCTAGGTAAACTCTACAACGAACCGCACTCTACGCGGCGCGAACGGGCCTTCCAACGCGCGACGCGTGCTCACGTTGGTTTTCCCCGTCTTGCCTTCCTCTCCCCTTGACACACCTTTTTCTTTTTTTTTTTCTTTTTTTTTTCTTGTGGGTTTCCCATGCGTGACGATGAACTGAAGTGAAGGGGAGTTCCAAGTCGAGAGCCCTCCCTCCCTCCTCCTTCCCTCTCGATCCCGTCGCTGTCTCAAGCTATCTTGCCAACTTGGACTCTTCCAACCCAGAAAAAAAGAAAACGAGCAGGCCTTTCGTTTCCTTTCGGTTTTCCCTTTTTTCTCTCTTCCACATCCTTCATCGATACCTGCTGGTCTTGGAACTGGAAGGGGGAACGTTGCCCATCCCTGGTCGGAACTGGATCGGTACTGCGAGACCCTCTTGGAGAAACCCTGTCCTCATCCCTTCCCTCGTCATTCAAAGTGGCTCCCCGCCTAACCCCCTTCCATCCCTAGAACTGCCTTTCACCTTCAGTAGGAGCCCAACCTCCGACTCGTTCACCATCTCTCGGCAGTCATGGCTTGCATTCCTACCAACCTACCCGTCACCTTGGAATCCGCCAACTCGCCCGTCATGGTCGCCGTCCCCTCCACCACCACTTCCTCCGTCCCTCAACCTGATCCTACCATCTCCTCGACACAACAACCCCCTTGCCCATCTCCCCCTCCAAGGGCCATCCTCCTCAAAGGACCCTCCACCAACTCCAAGACCTACTTCACCGCCCTACCCGGTTCGCTTCACGAACTCATCGAAAAAGCAAAGGAGTACTTCCCCGTACCACCCGACACAACCCCTCACATCACTCTCGGAACCGACGAGAGAGCCATCCTCCTACAGGATTCGTTACCTTTCGTAAGGGACAGGGAACTTTTGGTCTTCCGATGGGCACCCAACACTCCGAAAAGGCAACTCGGGATGAGGGTTCGATGGGATCAGACCTTGGACGATCCTACACCTTCGGAAAGGATCTCGTCGGCTCAAACTCCCTCCCACCCATCCTCCTCCTCCCATCATCATCATCAGCTACAGCTTTCTTCACAGAACCTCCTCCTACCCAACCCTTCGTCATCCTCTCAGAGGCCTCCAAACAGACCTTGGTCCAACCCCACCGCCAGGGATCCTTCCTCCAAGTTCGGAACGGGTGCGGCGGCAAGAGCGGCTCACGCTCAGAGGGTGTTGCAGAGGCAGAGGAAGATGAGGGAAGCGGAATTGAGAGCAGAGATGATGGAGTCGACCGAGATGAGGTCCAAGATCCATCAACAGCCGCAAATGGAACTGGAAGGGGAGGAAGAGGAAGGGGAGGTCCTGCTGGGAGGAGCCTCGAAAAGATTCAAGGCGGACCTTGCTCTCCCACCACCACCCACCGTCCAATCCCCAGTCAGGAACAAGACCATGAGCTTGAGCACGTCGGCAGCTCCTCCGGACACCCCGCCATCCTCGAGTGGAAGTTCACCGCCCCCTTACCATTCTGAAGAGAAATCGAACGAGGCTGGAAACCATCAGGACTTGATGGACGATGAGAGCGGTCTGCTCAACAGGAAGAAGAAGAAGAACCCGTACGGCGCCAGACGTCAAGAGGATCAATCCAGCTCTCCCCTACAGTCCCCTACCAGGGAGATCAACGCTGCCATCGTACGAGCTCACGTCCCGCCTCCCGCCTTCCTAGTAGGTGGAGGAGGAAGGTTGGGTGAAAGCTTGATAGCCTCGAGGCGTAGCGAGGAGGGTGGAGAAGAGGCGAGGAAGGAGGAAAAGAAGAACACCTTGTCATCCAATCGATCCGAGGACGATGACGAGCGGAGTCAACCCATTTCGAAATTGGATCTTGCAGACCTGCCCACCGTGAAGGGTGGGTCTGATCGGGACGGGTCGGCGGTCCCCACGGATGGACGTGAAGATTCACGGCAAGTCAGGGTGGCGAGTGAGGAGGAAGAGGTGAGGGAGGACCTGGCGTCGAAGAAGGGATCGGTAGAGGGAAATCAAAGTTGGAGCTCGTTGGGAGATCAGGATGCCGACCAAGTCGATCCAAGGGAGAGGATGGAGGGTGGGGACCAAGGTGGGGTAGTGGTGGACGCCGGGGAGACCGAGACGACGAGGGAGAAGGAGGACCAAGATCGACAAACCACCGAGAGAGATGCCAAGTTGGCCAAGACTTACGGTGCCATGTCTGCCGTGGTGGAATCGTTGAAGAGTCACCCTGGAAACAAGGTCTTCCGAGATTCGATGTCGGAAGAGTTCCTACGTTTCAGCTCCAACCTCTCCAGGGCGGTGGACTTCCAGATCATCCTCGAAAAGATCCGATCCAGATCCTACTCTTCGCCTCCCGTCTCCTCTTGGTACGCGAATGGGGTGGTGGAGGAGGAAGGGGAAGGTTCCGTGGAGGAGGGGAGGAGGAAAGCCTTCTCGCTGTTCAAGGAGGATCTCGAACTCTTCTGGTTCAACGCAAAGAGGTTCTACGGAGCTGGTTCAGCCGAAGCCCTGTGTGCCGACTCGATCAAGAGGTTCAGCTCGATCGTTCTCGACGAGTGGGAGAGGAAGGGTCTGGATTCGGGATGGAACGAGTCCTCCGGTTTCAACCTGTCCAAGGTGGGTGGAGCTAGGAATGGTGGTGACAAGGGAGAGAATCCCAAGAGCAAGATCAGATCCAACGTCACCCCCTCCTCCTCCTCCTTTTCCTCCTCCTTGGGGAAGGGATCCCCTTCCAACAGGGTAGAGAAGAGGTTGAAGATGATGACGACGACGACCTTGCCCTCCTCCCCCCAAGACCTCCACGAGATCCACTCGAACCCGAGATCGAACAGGATCTCTTTCGGAACCACCAACCTAGGTTTCCAGCGATTCGTCGAATCCACGAGGAAAGCCACCTCCCATGGCGGTCCCTCTTCCCAACCCTCCTCTTCCGCAAGGAAGTGGAACGGTGCGAAGCTCGGTGGTTTGAAGAGGAGTGGAGGTCTTGCTTTCGGCGTCGAACGATCGCCAGACGTCGTTGGAGGAGGGGATCCGACCCTCAAGAAGAGTAGGAAGGATGAGAGGGATTCGGGTTTCGAAGCCTTCCAGAGGGCGATCTTGGGTGAGGATCCGGTTCAAGTCGAGAGCGATCCCTCCAACTTGGATCGGGAGGAGGTCGTCGAGGTCGATCCTAAAGCCGACCAGGTTTGTTCGGAGATGGGTGGGAACAAGGAAGAGGTTGGTGATGGTGGACAGGAAGAGGAGCTGGACGTCGTTGAGGTGGGAGAATGTCAGGTTCGAGTTGGGGATGAGGAACCTTCATCCTCCGCCCCGAGAGGGATGGAGGAGGAGGTGGTGGAAGATCGTCAAGATCCGACTCGCATCCAACACGAAGACAGCAACCACCGGAACAACGAGGAGAACGTGTCGGATTCCTCTTCCAAGGAGGTCGAGAGACTTCTCTTGGGTTTGGATGACGATGAAGAGGAGCAAGACTTGGATCAGGGTTTCGAACGAGCGGATGAGGGGGATGGAGGAGATCATTTTTTAACTCGAGCGAGGGAGGAGGAGAAGGAGAAGGAGAGGCGATTGGACATGGTGGAGGATTCGCAACAGGAGTCGCAAAAGGAGGTCGAACCGACCGGAGTCGAGGAGCGAAAGGAAGGGATGGATCAAAGTTCTCCCGACCTCACACCGGAACCTGAGGAGGAGGAGGGGAAGGTCAAGAGGAGGGGAGGGCCGACGAAAGGTGGAAGGAGCAAGACCCAACCCCGAATCGAGGAGGAGGAGGAGGAGGAGGGGCAAGGTTTCGAAATCTTGACGAGCTCGAGTCCCGTGACGAGGAGGAGGAGAAAACTAGGGATGAGTCACGTCTCGATCCCCATCCTCACCACCGTAGCCTCGGAGAGTGGTGGGAAAGGGGAAGTGGGAAGACGTGGCGGTGGTGGGGGAGGTAGGAAGAGGGTCGGAGGTAGGTTCGTTCGTCAGGATCAAGATCAAGAGGAAGAGAAAGAGGTGGAAGACGAGGTGGAGGTGGAAGGGGAGGAGGAGGAGGTCGAATCCGGAAAGGGTGGTAAGAGGGGGAAGGGGAACGTCACCAAGACGGGGAAAGGAAAGAGGGGGAACGTCAACGACGCCAGGGTGAGGAAGAACCTGGATAGAAAGGTCAAGGTCGTCAAGGGGAACAGGAAGAATGGCAAGAAGGGAGGAGGAGGAGGAGGAGGTTCGACAGGTTCCAGAGGTTGAATTCGGTTCCCCCTTCTCGACTCTCTCCCCCCGCCCTCCCTTCTTTTCGTCACCTCCCCTTGTACGGACCAAGTTGTACATACGGTCCCGTAGGCGAATCGATTATTTGAAAAGAAAGAAGAAGAAGAAGAAGAAGAAGAAGAAGAAAGGAACCTGGACCATCCCTTTCTCTTTTAATTTGCGCTTGGATGTCGGGGTTGTCACTCAGTTGGGTCCAGACCGAACCTCGTCATCAGCGCAAGGAACCTCTCCAAGCTTTGGGAGGGAGCAAGTTCCCAGACGGACGCCCCCACAGAGTCCCATCTCATCAGACAGGGCGGGACGTGGTCGAATTCGAGATTTCCACATCACACGACCTGCCCCATCGACCTCAACAATCTCTTGGCCCTTTCCCTCCTCCTTTCCACTCTCCTCTCCTCGAGGATCGACCTCTGCCTCTCCTCCATCGCCTTCTCGTACTCTTTCCAAGGCGCACCTCCATCCTCGGACTCTTTCGTCTCCTCCCCCTTCTCAAGCTTCATGGCCATCTCTCCGAACCTCGT